CAAAAATATGAAACTAATTCGTAAGCCACTTTGTTCTCCTCTCAAGGAACATTGCTTCAAGAACCACTACCAACCCGCCCCTATTTGACAATCATTAAAATAAAATCTTTTTTTTCCTCAAACTCATTTTTAAGTATACATTTTCTTAATAAAATATTCTGTATATAAATTAAAAATTTTTTCCTGGGCCGGTGTGGAGCCGCTTTTCAAAGAAAATTTTGACTTTTTGGACCCTTGCAAATCAAAACCAGCCATTTTTGTTGACTTTGACTCTCACATTAGATCTCACCTGACAGTCTAACGGTCAAAAAAGCGCCCATTATTTTTGTGAAAAAACCTCCACCAGACAAGCACCTACCATCTGACCAATAATTTTCAAAAAATCACTATTTTAAAAAAAAAAAATTCCCAACAAACTCATTTTAATAGTTGTCAAATGGGAGCTTCGTCATTAAAGAAATTACAAACGTTTGGTGCGAAGGCAAAGTGAAAATTAGGTTTAATATTGAAATATAATTTTCCACTACTTTTATAAGTTAATAAAGTGAGACAGACGCTAGACCTTTTTAGGGCTGCTCTGGTAATAAATAATATTTTATAGAAAAAAAAAATTAGAAAATGAATAGAACTGAGAAACATGTGAGTTGTCGAGTATTATAAGATTTTTTTCTTAAAAATTTGTCTGGTAATTGCCTGCTACATGTATCCACACGATTAAAGAAAGGAAATTTCGCCCCCGGGATATAGTCTAGTGGTGCAAAGGATAGGAATGAGATTATCTCACGTCTTGTTGGCAGTCGTAGTGTGGAGGTTCGATTCCTGAAACATGGAATTGGACTCCTTGTAGGCCCAGTGTATAGACAGTTATTGTTCTCTGGCCTGTTGGGGCACATCTCGCGATTTACCTCCCTCACAAAACTTTAAGGATGAGACAGTGAGAGCCTTCAAAATTGGGATTCAACCTCTTTTTTTTTAAAGGAAATTTCCATTTGTGCGACACAGAATTTTGCTAGACAGACACGTGTGGGGCCATGTATGATTATAAAGAATCAAAAAATATCACCCAAGTTCACTGTAAGTTGTCTGAAAACATTTTGTGACTTTCCTTTTGTTTAAGTGCAGCACGGCTCTTAAAGAAAATAAATTATTTTAAAGAAAATAAATTATTTAGGCCAACTTTGACCAGGAAAACTTGTTCAAAACTGGCAAATGAAATTATTGGTTTAACATCTTTATTTTCATTTTCATTTTTGGGATGTAAAAATGATAAAATTTCAATAGTCAATTGAGTAGTTGGATCGAATGGAAATTGCAGTAGTGCTGCTGTCCCGTCATGCTAATGCATCTGGAATTTCAAATAATTGTATAATTATCATTCATTTAATCTCATTGAATTAAAAAATTGTGCAATCTCTTTATCAATTGGACAATGCAATTAATAAATATTGACGAAACATGTGAATAAACCAAGACTCGATTTAGTTTCTATGAAAATAATTTTTTTTATTAAATTTTGATCAAAATCGATGAAATGTGTGATTGAAAAGTTGATACAAATTGCAATTATTATTAAGCGTGTTATTGAAAATGAATTTGAAATTTATTTATTTTATTGAAATGGACTAAACAAGAGCTAAATTGTCATATCCTTGGAGCACAACATAGATCGTCGAGCATTGGGACTAAGATAGTTATAAGTATCTGTGGTTTTGGAAGCAAGTTTTTCAAAAGTGATGGACCGAACACCTTGTACGGGTGGGACACCTCGCGATCCGGACTTTTAGAGATGAGGCCTTCATTGGACAGTACGGATGGACTTGACCGTTCTTTTTCATTGTAACTTCCTTTATTAGGCAATTCTTCTCTCGAAGTTACATGACTATTTTGTCGAGTACCTTAAAGAGAATTGTCTCACGTGCAAATATATCAATAATTTATAGGGTTAATTTCACAAAAGGTCACTGAACTTATTTGAAAATTATAAAATGGTTGCTGGAGTTTAAAACTTGCAGAAACGATCACTGAAATTTAAAACGCTTTCAGAAACGGTCACTGAAATTTTTAGACTTGCAGAAACGGTTCTAACACTGAAGTTTAGAGTGATTTCGAAAATGGTCACTAAAATTTACAAACTTGCAGAAACGGTCACTATTAGGACCGTTATGATTTAATTCAAACTTAAATGACCAAAACATGTGAACATAGAATCTTGAGGACCAAACTATCAAAACTTGACAAAATAAACTTTTTTTCTTTATTTTTGGACGAGTTTTGTGGCAATTTTTCGACAACTTCCGACCATCAAGGCCGCCGGATTTGGATACTGCTAGAAAGCCCATAATTTTCTCTTCAATTACCAACCAAAATCTCCCCATAACTCCAAAGAATTCTGCCGAAATAAGCTCCTCGAAATCTGAAAATCTGCCTAGATTTTTTAGATTTTTGTGCGAGTTTTGTGGCAAATTTTCAGCAACTTTTGACCACCAAGACGACCGAATTTGGATACCATTAGAAATCCTACAATGTCATCTTCAATTACCACCCATAAGGATTGGATTCAATCAGAATAAACCCAAAAAGTCAGCTCCTTGAAGTCTAAAAATCTATATAAATTTTTCAGATTTTTGGACGAGTCTGAAAATCTGCTCAAATTTTTCAGATTTTTGAGCGAGTTTTACTACAATTTTTCAAAAACATCCAACCACTAAGACCGCGGGATTTCAATACCATTGGAAAGCCCAAAATGTTCTTTTCAGTTAACACCAAAAATATCTCCATAACTTTAAAGGATTCGAGGAATAAACCCACAAATCAATTTTCCAAAATCTAAAAATCTGCCCAATTTTTTTTAGATTTTTGAGCGAGTTTTGTGGCAATTTTCGTGCAACCTCCTACCACCAAGACCGCAGGATTTGGATATTGGAAAGTCCACAATATCTCTTCAATTACCATCCAAAATCTGCCCATAACTCCAAAGGATTCGACTGGAAAAAAGCCACGAGATTTCAAAGAGTTGACTTTGTGGGTTTATTTCTGCCAAATCCTTTGGAGTTATGAAGAGATTTTGGGTGGTAATTGAAGAAGACATTGTGGACTTTCCAACTGTATCCAAATTCGGAGTTCTTGGTGGTTGAAAGTTGCTGAAAAATTGCCGCAAAACTCGTCCAAAAATAGAGAGTTTATTTTGTCAAGGTTTGATAGTTTGGTCCTCAAGATTCTATGTAAACGTGTGTTAGTCCTTTAAGTTCGAATTAAATCATAACGGTCCTAATAGTGACCGTTTCTGCAAGTTAGTAAACTTCAGTGACTGTTTTGTAATTATCAGGTAAGTTCAATTGCCGTTTGTGAAATTAACCATAATTTATATCATTCTATAATTTCAAGAAAATTGCTTATGCATCCATCAAAAGATTATAACTGGATTTGATGGAATGGCTTCATTTATTTTTTAACTAACCACATCAATCTTAGAATATATTAGGTAAAGAGAGATTTAGGGGGCGTTTATTTTCTATTTTTGTAATGAAAATTAAAAATATAGTCGTTATGGATCCCACATGAGAAATAGAAATTCAAATTTGATGACTTAATGTAATGGATAATAGTCATATTTTTTATTTTAATGGGAAAAGAACGAAAATAAACAAGGCTTAAATTCAATATATAATTTTGGGAGAAGTTTGACTTACGCTACAGTCCAAAATTCATGGGCCTCATTCTTTAATTGTCTCCAGGCTTCAACCTATATTTGTAATGATCTGCCTCTGTCAATTCTCTACTTCTGTTTCAACCTTTCAAGAAGCTCTGAGTATTAGCCAAGAGACTCTCCCAGATGGATACAAGCTGTGATCAGGTCATTCATGATGTTCCACCCTATCTCAGGGTGTACAAAGATGGAACAATAGAGAGACTTTTTGGAACAGAAGTTGCACCAGCAACCTTCGATCATCAAACTGAAGTTTCCTCCAAAGACATAGTTGTAGTACCCGATACCGGTGTCTCCGTCCGGATTTATCGACCCACTCTCACACACCATCACCAAAAACTTCCTTTGGTAGTCTACTTCCATGGTGGAGCATTTTTCATATCTTCAATTTCCGATCCCAAATACCATAACGTGTTAAACATATTAGCCGCCGAGGCTAAAGTTATCGTCGTCTCAGTTGACTACAGAAGAGCCCCCGAACACCCTCTTCCGGCCGCCTACGAGGACTCATGGGCTGTGTTTCAGTGGCTGGCTTCCCACAATTCAGGAGGTGGCACTGAAACCTGGCTAAAGGAAAATGTTGACTTTGACAGGTTTTTTTTGGCAGGGGACAGTGCTGGTGCAAATATATCACATCACATGGCAATCCGCGTAGGGCGGTCAGGCTGGTTTTTGTCAGGGACCAAGATTGACGGCATTCTTATGATACAGCCATACTTCTGGGGGGATGAACCGGTCGGGGTCGAGGCACGTGATCCAATACGCAAAGGTATGGTGGACAAGTGGTGGCAGTTTGTTTGTCCTTCTGATAAAGGCAACAAAGATCCCTGGATCAACCCATTTGTTAATGGAGCAGCAAATCTTGCTGGATTAGCATGTGATAGGATTCTTGTTTGTACAGCTGAGAATGATATCTTGAGGGATAGAGGGAGATTATATTACGAGTCACTTCTGAAGAGCCAATGGCAAGGGAAAGCTGAAGCTTTTGAGACAGAAGCAGAGGACCATGTCTTTCACCTCATCAATCCCACTTCTGAAAAAGCTGTCAAACTGATCAAGCGTTGTGCTGAATTCATAAACCATGAGTGAGTGAGTGATTATCGTTTGTACCAATTTCAAAAATTCTACCAATAATAGTGATATTATCAAATCATATTCTACATATTTTTCTTTTGGCTGTTGTTATTTTAGACCCCCCATGATGCCAAATTGGTAGCTTGCCTCATAAAATGATCAAAATATCTATGCTACTTCAGAAATTGTTGATTAGAATTTAACAGAAGTTCTTCAAACTGAATCTTGCACTAAATTAGCTTAAGGGCCCATTTAGCAAGACATTTAAAAAGTCAAAAACTGTTTCTGAGATTAATAAACTGTGTTTGAACATATTCGAATAATTTTTTGAGAGTGTTTTATCTGACTAGGAGAACTTTTAAAAGAAATTGAGATAATTTTCCCTAATAGTCAACACTTGCAAATTTGGGACCAGTTTATGACCACTCTTTAGATCCTTGACACATACCGTAATTAGTTTACCACTTCCTCTTTTATGAAGAGCTCAAATTAGCTTAATGAATTTAATTAATTTAGGGTGGAGGTATTAGGACGACGCCTGCAAATGACAAGTAAATTATAAGACGCCCAAGTAAAGACAATTGTTGTGTCCCCTCTTTTGGAACTACACAGGATGCATGAAAGGCAGAAGCCAAAAATAACTTGAGCAACAAAAGGTTCCATATGTCCTTGAATTAGGATTCTATAGAAATACAAATATCAGGATGACTTAACATGGTAAAACAAGAGATCATGTCAAAGATAGTTGCTTTCTCATAGTGCACAAGATAGAGACACCAGTTCACATCCAAGAGAAAGCAAAACCAAACCATACTTGTCAACGTTTTGCTGTTGAAATATAATGCTGACTCTAGAAGACAACAGTGTCCAACATAGTTCCCAATGTCTGAATAATGTTTGAAGACATCAAGTTGGAGACATGCTCCTCAAGATGCTTCTTTGCGTCTTGCCTTCCCACATTTGCGATAGCTAGCTTTTCTGGTGGCAACTCATCTTCCTCTTGAACTGCTTTGTTATATTTGATAGCTAAATTAAGCATCTCCTGCACAAGTGATGCCAAACTTTACTACTTGCTTCAATTAGAACAAGAGAGGAGAAGAAATCATGCTATCGTAACTTCAGAGTTTTCTTTATTTAATTACACCCCACTAACAACATGGAAACCCCACAAAGGTATCGTCTTTATATATAAAAGACAGAGAGTCGGTGGGAACCACACAAAGATATCATCTTTATACATGAAAGACAAATAGTCATCATGGAAATGCATCAACTAATATATACAGGTATCTGATGGATAATAGTATAAACCCAGATGAAATTAAGCATCCAGAATACAATATATAGTTCGTGATGACATAATCCCTGTCCTCAATGTCCAATCAACATCTTCAGTAAGCTACATTTATTGGACATGTCTGATACGCTCAGAAGGATATCTGAAGCTATATATATCCATTGAAGTAGAATATAAGAAGTGCTCTAGTTATCCGACACATTTGATAGCGCCATTATATTCCAAATCTTATCTCTGAGAGTAACAAGAAACCGTAACAGCAGAAAGCCAATCATAGTCTCTCATAATCTACCAAACTCGAAAATTGAGACATCTAGCATAACAAATTGCAAAGATGTGTTTTTAGCCAAGAATCATTCCCATCAATAAGTTCTACAAGCCTCTAAAAGGTCCATACTGGTACTAGAATACAACCTCCATGCATCACCATTCCACAATCCACCATTTTCACATGGTAGATCTGCAGTTGGAATTTCAAGAAAAGATGTGCCACTAATATTTGTAAACTAGAAAGAGTCAGACTGCAATTTGAATAATACCATCAAATTTCCTACAGTCCAGAAGAACAAAAATATACCGTTGCAGAGCAAATATTAGAAGCAAGCACCCAAAGGATGCAGCAAACATTATTCGAAGCATTTGCTTCAGAGGACAGCTATAACATTTTTAGCGTTTCTTCCACCTGACGTCTAATTAAATGACTGGTAGAGGAGCTAACAGGATTCTAAAGTTCACCTCATTTATAAATAAATCTAAAAGAATTATTCATATTCATAGTTTGTATGTAGAGTGCAAGCAGGTCATTACAAAAAGTTTATATGTACGTATTAACTAGCATATTAAATTTAAAATTATTTTTTTAAAATTCTGGACAACGGAAATAGAAACTTGTGCCTAAGCTCCAACAGACACTAGGTATCAGGGATATGTCAGACAAATTGACTCGAGACGGTCACTTCATGCAAGACTCTGGCAGCAGCTCAACACATGTACACAGTCCATGTTTGCCATTATGCACAGGTGGCTCAGGGCAAAATGCCACAAGGTGAACCTCAAAGCATGACATGGAAACTGGAAGTCAAATTATTTACAATAATCCTGTTGGTTCAAGGCCAGCAAAGTTATGGGGGAACCATCAACCTCAGCCAATAGAAATTATTTCTTTGTTTCATACTTTCATGGCAATCAGCTAGAACATAACCCTAACAGCAACCACAAAATGTAAGAGCCCGGTAAATCCAAAAGTACCTGAACAGTCTGCTCATTTGTTTTGGAGTGGGCATCAAATCGCTGAAGGGTCAAGCCATCAGTCCATTTCTTCTTGTGAAGATTCAGAAGCATCTTCTCCTCAAGTTCATTCTTCCTGTAGTTTATGGCTATAGAGTAATAATGGCGGTTCAAACCATGAATCAAAGCCTGAAATACAGATCATCTCTTCAAATTACAAACTAGAGGAAACAACAACAATAAAACATCAATTGAATTAAATATATGGCCATTACTTGGATGGATGGTTTGTTGAGATGTCCCAGATTGGAAGTTGTCTGTCGTGGCTCTTGGCCAAGCATCATGGTTTGAGGGTTAATCAGTCTGAAGGCATCAATCACCACCTTTCCTTTAACACTCTGAATGGGATCCACCACCACTGCAACTGCTCTTTGATTCAAAGCTTCAAAACTCTACATCATACAATAGGTAATGGACACTGAGGATGCTAGAGATACACAGTTGTAAATAAAAAATTGACTGAACAGTAAACCATTAGTATTGGAAAAGTAAGTAACAAACTATAAAACTGTGTATATGTCATAAACTCATTTCTACAGCCAAAACAAATTAGTGTCAACAAACCTGTGAGGGAAAAACACCTAATATTGGCTCTTTCCCACAACTTAGCTACCTTGTGGCTACTGGCCAATATCAAACGCTGCTCCTCGTCCCCAACCAAAAAAGCCGACAATGATACACAATAAAATAAAAAGAAATGTCCATCACAAGCACGTGGTTTCTTGGAATAGCTAGTTAAATATTAGACATAAAAAATACCAATATTGGTTATATGGCAGAACAATACGACGTCTTCTTTTAGGTAGCCTTATGATTTACTTCACAATCCTCTAAATCTCACATGGTATCATTTAACACGAAAAAGCAGAGAAAAATATGCAAAATGCTCAATTATTTTGAGTCAGATGATTCCTATTTAAAAGAGAGGAGAAAGAAGAAAGAACAACAAATTTTCTCCTCAAATATCTTTCGAGTCCATAGAATTTGCCTTTTTTCCAATATCCCATTCAGAGCAGACTTCCTCAACCACAACAACATGGAAATAACCACAAGAAAGATCACAAATCGGAAACGTACAAATAGAAAATCTGCTTAAGCACAAGGTTCTGAAATTACAAATTTGATTGCATAATTGAAAAACCAAAATTTCACAAAATTACATAGCCTTCTCTTATTCCTTTCACCTCAGAATTTTATACATACTCAACTTTCAGGACCAAGAGAACAAAGCTAAAATAAATAACAAGAATACAAATCTTTGAATTTGTAGTCATTTACTACCTATATTTAACGGGATTACATTGCTCTTTCTGGTTTAATATAATGATGCAATTATTGATAATCAACCCCACATTACAATATTGTGAATTCCCAAAAAAATATAAAAATTAATAATAATAATAATAATAATATCAGAGGTAAATAAGATTCGGTAAATGCTAAATGGTGCTTGGGTAAGATGGGAATGACTGCTTAAATGAATATAAACAAAATAAAACGTCTGTGAATACTTGTGGAATATTTCATATCTGACAAATACCAAGTGCAATAACAGGTTACTATTGATCAAATATTCAATCTGACAAAAAATAACATAAGTTGGAGCAATGCAGAGCAAATAATGGAGTACCAACCTGCTGAGTATTAATGTCAACGCCAGAAAGCCAACACCCAAAACCTGGATGTGAATGATACCAACCAACAACCATCTCAGGTCTGCAACCAACAACGAACAAAACTCGCTGAATTTACATAATGTAAGAGAAAAAAGGACATGACATAGCCAAAGCATTAACAAAAAAGAAACAAGTATCAGACTGAAGATTCTACTAGAAATTCAATAAATTGAAAGAAGGGTAATTAATATAGCAATACTTGGACCCCATACTGTAAGTCAACAATTTTTAAAACAAAATCCAACTAAACAATAGAACAAACTCAAACCCATTAACAGCTCAGTCTTTTCAAGAATAACACTGTTCATTGAATGATCTTAGCAAATGCAAGTTACGGGAGCGCTAAACTAATTGACAGCTTAGTACAACTTAACAATATGCAACACAAATTACTGGTTTTGAAAATATCATGCTAAGTCCTCGGTCCGGCACAAAGGAAAGTTCCAATTTAATATGTACGTGAATGAAAAGGTAATACCATGTATAATGGAAAATGATAAACCTAGAAAAAGTCATTTGAAGAAAATGCCAAACACCTATATGAAGAAGCAACAAATTTTTTATCATTTTATAGGTTCAATTTATTGATTGTGCAGCAAAACCTATTGAGAAACCAAAATATAATAAAGATAGTTGCTTGATTCACTTCCAGAAAATGAATTCAGAAAACAAAAATGCTTCTTAATTTGATAATAGTGATAAATTTTCATCATGTGGCAGAATTAGCAAGCACAGAACTGGCCAGTTCAGCATCCATAACTACTTTTAGTTTACTTGAGAATGAAATAATCATAATGCTCCAACAAACTTCAATAAGTTTCAATTCACCCAGAAACTCTGCTGTTACCAATAAACCCACTTGTCTTTTACATTTGCTATATTATGAAGCTTCTGTAAGCTCTTCTCTAAAATAACAGACAGAACACAGAAGAAGCGAGATCAGTTCCAAATGTTTGTTCTATATTTCTATCTTCTAATCATAATTTTTTTGGTAGAATTGGGGATTTATAATCTACGATTTTAAGGAAACGCAAAAATTGAAAACTTTATTCTAATATTTTGATGGTTTATGAGTTAATTGGAAATCATCATGGCCACTAGGCTAGTTCGTCTATCACATTCTGATCTGAAAACAAAAAAATTCTAAAACCGTTCAATTTCCTTCAAATATCTACAAAACCCACACAACGTACACCGCCTATCTTAATCAAGAAAGACCAGAAATTTTCTATCGGAAGAGGAATTACCTGCCAGTTTGCTTTAGCATATCAAGCATATTGGTCTGGAAGACATGATCCACGGCCTCCACGCTAACTCCTGTCCCACTCTGTGGCATGGCGAATACATCCACCACTCGAACCGTGTATTCATCTACAAACTCCCCTAGCATAAGCCCCATCACTTCCATTGGCACCCCTGCCCTTCCTATCATTATTATAATATACACATATCAAATAAACCATAATTCCATCAATACAAGCAGTAAAACCATATATAATATTTTATACCAGCACACACAGATGTGTTGGCAAACTTGGCATATGTAGTTCTAAAAAACCCTAGATTTACCGTGTTTGAGCATTTTAAGGAGGGCAAGAGAGGAGATGTAGACTTGTTCAGATGAATCGAGAGTTGGAGAGTCCGGTGGCGGGTGTCCCAGGGCACCGCCGGCTCCGGCGAACATTCTTTGTAATCTTTCAATGCCGGACATTTTCTTTTTTATTCTTTGCTGGGTCTTCTCTGTGTTCTTAAGATTTGTTATGGCAGACGAATTACAGAGTTCAAGAGTTGAGCTGGATTTCTTTGCGAACAAGACAGGATATTACAAATTTTCAATGACGTCCTTGTATTTTGATCTAATTATAATTTTTGCGTGTTACTTTTCTCTCCTTTTCTTTTTGTTCTTTAAAGACATAAGAATAGTCCAAGTAAAAGAATACTGAGTAGGGCTGGACAAAATTACCAGTCTGAACCGAAATTGAACCAAATAGAGTGATTCTTCTTAAATTAAATACTCGAACGAATATCTGAATCGACAACCGATGGGCTAGGTTCGGTTCTCGGTT